GAAATGACCTGAAATATAAAAAGATAAAGAAAGAATGATAAAAGAAAGAAAGAAAGGAAGAAAGAAACGAAAGAAAAGAAATAAAAAAGAAAGTAAAAGGGAAGGAAGAATGAAAGATAGAAACAAACAGGAATTCAAATAAGAAAGAAAGAAATAAAGAAAAAAGACGGAAAAGAGTAGAAAATAAACAAAGATAAGAACGAAAAAAAGAAAGAAAGAAGTAATGGAATTTAAAGAAAAACAAAGAAAGAATGATAAAAATAATCAAATGGAAGAAATAAAGAAAGAAAGGAAATGGAAAAGAAGGATAAAAGAAAGAAACAAACAGAAAAGTTTGGTTTAATGTACTTTTTTTTTACGGCATATCAACCCTAATGGGTCATTTAATGCCGACAACTTTTTTTCCTGATAACTATTTAGAAATGGAAAGAAAGACTGAAAAACGAAGGAAAGAAATAAAAAGGAATTAAATGGTGAAAGAAAGAAAAAGAAACAGAGAAAGAAAGGAAAAAAAAGAAAGAGAAAAAGAAAGGAAGAGAGTAGAAGAAGAATAGAAAGAAGTAATAGAGAAAGAAAAATCTTATTTGAAAATTATTAAAAATGATGATTGTCAGATGAATTACACAGAACTTGCAAAAAACGAATTCTTGCAACCTAAATATACCTTACATATGTGTGTGTATGCGTGGGATGATTTGTACGTTAAAACCAATAAAAATTGTTTGTTTAAATCTTTTATTTTTTCTTTAGTTCAAATCCCTTTTCTGTGACTCCGGCTAAAGTTTGGAAAAAAATTCAGCAATGTCTTCAGAGAGCATTTGGTTTTCATAAACATTATTGAAGAATCATTGATAGGTTAATAAGGTTTTAGTTATGCGTATGCATTTTGTTCCCATAGTGTAGGTACCTCCAAAAATTTTACCTTAGGTTTAAAAAATTTTCATAAATTCAAATTTTCATTTTTCTTTAGAGAAAAGCTAAAGGATTAAATCTTTTAAAAAAGCAAAATACCGTTTTTGAATGATTTTTGTCGATTCGTGTTTTTTTTAGATGAAAATTTTTAATGAAACGGCCATTTTAACTTCTTTGACAGATTGTAAACAAAACTTAATTCACGGTTTTAAAATCTTGTAGAAATTAAATATATATTTCTGAAGTGTTATTTGCAGAAAATTAGCAAATTTAAAGTTAATGTTAATTAACTTTTGTTTACAAAAATGGCAATATTTTTAATCCCTTTTTTTACTGACAAAAAAAAAAAAATTACTAAGAACATTCTAATCAATTATAATTTGTATTAATTTTTTGCTTATCAATTAAACCTGGGATGAAAGCTATTTAATTTTTGTTTTTTAAATTAATTTTTAAAAGTAAGGAATCGAGAATTAGTGGAAACTTTTTAAAAAACAATTTCACATGTAAAAAGAAATAAAGTATAACAATAATTAAACTAAGTATTATTTAAAATAAAATAAAGCGTTACTTTTTAAACGATTTTTTATCAAAATATAACTCATAAAATAGAATAAATAAAATAAAAGAAACAAAAAAACTAAATAAAAACAAATTATTTTTCTTAACTAAATAAAATTAAAAGGTTTATGAGCATAGAGCAGATTTTTAATGATCATGTTACATATGAACTCCATACTTAAAAAGAACATTTAGACACAGAAAAGGCTTTTTAAGTAGGAAAGTTTTGTTGGGAATTTGTATTTTAAATAACCTAACTTTGATTATTGAAGAATTTTTGATTTACATTTAAGAAAAGAAAACTGAAAAAATTCTTGTAAAAATTCATTATTCATCATAAAAAATTTTTTCTTCAGGCTATAATATCCTTAATATATATTATTTATAAAAACAAGTTTATCTAATTCAATGATTAGATAGTTTTATTGCAGTTTGACTTTACGATTTGGAGCAGATTTTAGGAAACTTTGTAATATTTTAAAAATTGATGATTTACATTCTCCAAAGACTCCTGCTTTTAACTAATAAAAACATTTCATTGACGTTTTTAAAGTCAAGAAAATTTTATGAAATTAAGTAAAATGTGTGTGTTTGGGTGTTTAACAGATGTAAAAAAATATTTTTACCAAGATTTTCTAAAAAGTAATTATTTAAAAAATAAATAAATTTATTTGTAAATATGTCCTGAAAGTTTCATTAAACTCTGACAAGTATTTGATTTTTGCAAGAATTTCAAAATTAATGCGTTATTTTACCGGAGACGGCGGAGTGAAAATGTCCCGTACTAGCTCTGTTACACCATCGACACACACACACACACACACACACACACACACACACACACACACACACACGCAAACAAACAAAAAAACAAGATTTAATACAAATTTCGAATGTGTTAGAGAGGAGTAATTTTTTTAAATACTTGAAAAATACTTTGGTGTTTCTTCTTTATAATAACAAACATTTTGATGATTAAAATTGGTTTTATTATATTTGGGGCATTTTTTCATCATGGTATTCCCATTTTAATCGATTTAGGGGTTTTTATACAATAGAATATTCGTGTATCTGTTTTTTTCGAGATTGTATTATCATAAACCAACAAAAACAAACAAGAAATGGATTGACATCTGAAAACTGCATGAAACTCCGAGCAGTGTTATCGACGTTAGATATTATGTATATTCACTAATATATACTTATAGCTCTGCTTCATAACATTGAGCACTGTATTTATAACACCCGAGGAACAAATATAATTACGTACGTTCAAATATTTGTCTGTGTATGTATATTTTTATCCTACTCATTCCTATATATATATATATATATATATATATATATATATATATATATATATTTACATTATTCGGACAATTGTCCTCATATTTGTTGCCATATTTATTACAACGTTTCTCCCGTTGTATGCTCTTGTTTTGAAACATGAGAACTCTTATGTAAAGATGGAATCATATTTTTAAGTAAATAATTAATATATATATATATATATATATATATATATATATATATATATATATATCCAAGTATATGATTGGTATATACGGAATAAATTCAAATAACGAATAATTACTATTCTTAAAAGAGTGCTCAATACAGAGTAGAGCAGATATAATTATTTATTTAAAAATTATAACATAAATATGCTATAAAATCACTACAAAAATAGCCATGGTGGTGTTGAAACAAAATGGCTATTTTTGTAGTGATTTTATAACATATTTCTGTTATAATTTTAAATAAATACTATATATATATATATATATATATATATATATATATATATATATATATATATATATATATTTTATTGGATAGATGTTTGACGATCGATCGTCAAAGACGATCGTGACCCAAACCCAGGGTCACAAACTCACATCTATCCAACCAAATATGTTAGCTCTATCTCTGATATTGAGCGCTTTCTAATAAGTACCATGTATATAATAAATAATTATATATATATATTTATTTATATTTATATACACTTTTCACACACACACACACACACACACACACACACACACACACACACACACACATATATATATATATATATATATATATATAGATAGATAGATAGATAGATAGATAATATTAGTGGTCAATACACACACACATATATATCTATAAAATATATAAATATACATACATATATACATATATATATATATATATATATATATATATATATATATATATATATATATAATTTCAAGAGAATAGAATCCAGGTAGAACTCAATGTCCAGGACAGAGTAAGAATATAATAAAATATTGATCTTGTACGATGAATTGAACAAATTTTGTTTCAAAGAATTTTGTTGCGCCACTCTCTCTCTCTCTCTCTCTCTTTCTGTCTCTCTGTCTGTCTCTCTGTGTATCTATCTATCTATCTATCTATCTATCTATATATATATATATATATATATATATATATATATATATATATATAATAGAAAGGCTTAAACACTAATATTCCATGGTTATAATTTATTACATTGGTATTGTAATTACGATCCAATTCATCAGACCTACAATTTCAAAAAGAAATCGGAAAAAATAACTCCGGATATAAAAAAAAACAAAATTTTAGCGAGAGTGTATGTATAAGAGTGGGGGACGAATGTGAGAAGGAAATGAAAGCTTTAGAGAGGGAGTAACAGACGTAAGAAGAATAGATGCCTTCATCTTGATCACCGTCCTTCTCTTAATGCTTTCCTCAAACACCCCTCTTTACTCTTGCTCTCTCTCTCTCTGTAACCTCTTGCGTGCGAGTGGCACTCCCGCCTTGCTTGGGGTGATATGCTTGAAAAAAAATCCGGAGCCATTTTTTCCTCTTTTTTTAAAAAATGATTAAAAACAATCTTTCAATTTCAGTTTGCAGACATTTACGTAATTGTAAAACGGGTGTTGTACCCATCAATTTGATTTTTTTTTCTTACCACCTGACATACATGTCGTCAAACTGACTGATTCCATCCGATGTCAGCAAAGTCATTAGCGTAAATACCACCTGATATAAAATTAATATCATTTCTTGGATTTCAAACGTTTAAATCGTCATTTCCTGCTTCCAAATACTCCCCCACCCTGAATAAAGTCACATGTTATTCCTTTGAAATTTGTTTTAAAAGGATAGCAGTAATTACGACCACTATTCATTTTTTTTTTCTTTTTAATTTTTCAGGCTTTGAAGAAAATGATTTTTAAAAAGTTTCCGGCAAGATATAAACAACAAAAGAGTGAATCCGCCAAATGAAAGGGATCTGACCCTTATAGATATTTTATGAGGTTTTATTTCAACTAAAAGGTTGTAGAGTAACGATCCGTTAAGGACAAGGTATTTTATTACGTGCATTTACGAGGTGATGGAAATATTTTTAGTGTATTTTCTAAATATGTGATTGAGAGGTTGGTGTTAAGATAATTTTCATGAATTACTACAGTTTTTTGAGGCCTGACATAAATCCAGTATTTATCGAACGCAGAGACACACACGCACGCATGCGCGCGAAGCCGCCTCCCGTAGACAAGAGGTTGCGTAAAAAGACCATAGCTTAACACAGATATTAGCTAAATTTTCACTTTTAATGATTAAGAGATGTACGAGGATGTGTGTAATAATAACGGTTTGAGCCAAGTTCGAATTACAGTCGGGTTCATTATAATCATTTACGCTAAAATGCCCTTGGGAAAGATATGAATCCGTCTGTAGTTCCCTCAGCTATGGATTAAATAGCACGACAGACTGGATCATGTAGCCCTGGTTGGCAACTAGTCTACCGCAGAAAGAAATGGCAATCTACCGAGAGAAAAATCTGCCTGGTCAGTCATGAATCGTAAGAGACATGGTTGACTAAGCATTTTTCATGCATAGCAATTAACTCACCGACTGGTAATGGTCAATGGAAAAATGGATCAAATGCATTGAAAAGTAAAGAAATTATGACAAATAAGTCATTATTATTATTATTATTATTATTATTATTATTAATCCCATGACCGGATATAGTTATAAGGTCACCGCGCAGATAAATCCATGATTAGTTGCTCCTGCATATCTGGGTTGAAAGTCTGAGTTGTTTTCATTCATACTTAGCGTGTCATGAGCAAGTAGACGTCAGGGAGTATATCCCTCTTAAAGTCAAATTACAGACAATGTCTGCCAACTTGCCCCCTAAATTGAAGCTCGCCTTGTTGAAACACGTCTGGCCATCGATTCTCTCGAGGAACTAACCACCCTGGTCATTAACTTCAGTCTAAGATGCCATCCGCACAGCGATGCTGTTTCTTCTCCGTTAAGGCGGCATACTATGGCATTCAGGTTACCATATTGTGCTAGATGGACGTTGACCATACAAGGGGGGAGGGCATCTTGCCCTTTGACAGGTCCTGCTGTTAATGCTGCTGCGATGCCATCACCATATTGGTTGCATAATATGGTGGGGCTGAAAAGTTCATAGGCTGTGAAATCTTGCATGTATTAATTTCAACTCTTCTTCTTAATAATTGCATTGTTTCTTTCCCGGTACGACAGAAGGCTAAAAAGTTCATAGGCTGATTATGAAGGGGTGACGAGGGAGCTGTGAAATCTTGCACCTATTAATTTCAACTCTTAGTCGCTCCATTGATTCTTTTCAAGAAGAATCCAAAAGGAACTATTAGCGATTTCTCTTGAAAAAGAACAAATTCTGGCATTGTGGCGTTAACAAGTAGCGGCAGAAAAATGGTTTGACACCCAAGGTCATTTATGCTGACATTGTTCGTACATTAGGGGATGGTGATCTAGTATCAAAAAGAGTCAGTTGAAATTTCTAGTGTATATAATGAGTAAAGAGTGCTAAAAGAATTTGAAACTCACAAGAGGTACTAAAAGCAAGATTGGTTAAAGGAAGCAGTTAGTAACCTTCCTAACGAGCTCGTGTAAATGAATAACAGAAGAGAATCTGGGCGAAAAAATAAGGGGAATTACGAAGAAAAAAGTTGTGGAGAGCCATTGTCGTTCATGTCCTGAAGGGACAAGTTATATAAAAGAAGAATTATTTTAATATATATGGCTTTCCGTATCGAGAAAACTATTCAAAAAAAATTATTCGAAAAATATTTATTCGAATTGTAAATTGTTTGAATGAAAATTAATCGATAGGGCAATTATACTAAAGGATAATTATTTGAAATACCTGTTTGAAATACGTATGTTGTCTTGCTTTGAGAGAGTCAATGCCGATTTACCTAGAACTAATAACTCTCTTAAAGGATAATATAGTGCTATTTTGCATCAAGTGTCATCCCATAATCCCACAATATGGTAATTCTTAGCCTCTCTTAAAAGAGAACAGCAATTGCAAGAAATTCATATTGCAAAATTAAGAACAGGTTGCCAAAATATCAAGTGCGCCAAGAAATATTTTGACGATATTTGTATTTTGAATAATTATCATTTGTGTATTTCATTTTTACATTTTTATTGCAATAAAGAATTTTGCATTTCGAATAATTATCATTTAATATAATTTTCCTTTCGATGAATTTCCATTCAAAAAATTTACAATTCGAATAAATGTTTATCGGATAATTATTTTGGAATAATTATTTTCGAACGATCTTCACGTCATCATGGCTTCCACTTTTATTCATCTCACACACCTCAGAGATATGTAAATTATACAAGTCAAAAATCCAACAGAAAACCTTTTGGAGATAATGGACAAGCGTGACCGTAATAGGAAAGTTAACAGTAGTTGAGCTTTTCCGCGAATTAACGAAATGCTGGAAAAATTTGGTGACGTCTACTTACTAAAGAATTTAGTCTACAGAATGCCACGAAGAATGAAAGCCGTTATTAGAGTAAAAGTTACCCGATAAAGTACTAAATCATTTTTTGGCTTGTATAATGTAAATATGTCCACCTGTTTTAACAAACAAATTCTATTACTCACTATTCTTGGTAAAAAATGCATTTTGTATGTCCATATATTATATATATATATATATATATATATATATATATATATATATATATATAAAGGCTAGTTCATAGCCTTTTCGTTTTGTTTATGATTAGGGCGCATCTGGTTATAATAATACAATTTAATGAAGTCTTTAATTTTGTTTATATCAAGTTGTTTGCTTAAAATTATTTTTTCTAAGTTTCTTCAAAGCTAATCTTATTTCTTCATCAACAATATGCTTTGGGAAATTATTGTTGATAAGTAATTGTTTCATGTTGTTTAATTCCCCATTGTCCGAAGAGGAAGTCATTTCCGTAAACTTTCTTTTCTTCTTAAGAAATTACCAACTTAAGTTATATATATATATATATATATATATATATATATATATATATATATATATATATATATATATATATATATATAAAGAGAAATAACAATCAAATTTAGAATCCACAGTTCTTTAGCATTTATTTTTTTTTTTTTAAAGTACTGATCAAGCGATGTTGTGTAACGTTTTTCTTGATAATGGAACAGATGCAAAAAATTTTTGAAATATATATATATATATGTATATATATATATATATGTGTGTGTGTGTGTGTGTGTGTGCGTGTGTGTGCGTGTGTGTTAATCCTTTGGTATAATCCAAGCGAGTCATATTAACACAATATAGAATTTTAAATATTAAATATTAAATGTTAAAACTGACTCAAAAAGAGTTTTCATTAAACAGAGCAAAATCTTTCGTACAATTAAGATACCATTAGTTAATGATCATTTTCACCCGCGAATTTTAAATTTAAAATTCGCTGGCTTTTTTAAGTTGTTTAAAGAGGACTGATTAGTTGGGGAAAGAAAAAGAGAGAGAAACGCATGTGTTGTGAAAATTTACGGCACTTTTCCGTTTGATAATCTTTTTTTTAAAAAGTTTTTTCTTGCTTTATCACAAGTTTTATTTTTAATATTTGTGTTTAAATTGTTGAAATAAGTCCATGGTGGTTTTCCGAGCGCTTTCGATTATCGTCAGCCATCGTCATGGCTGTATGTTTTGGTTTGAAATAATTTGTTTATTATTTTAGTTTATAGATGATATTTTGTGTATTTAGACAATGTGGTTGATTAGTTCATTATTAATAAGGAGGGGGTTGGTGTTTATTATTTGGAGTATTAGTTATTAAATATGTTTTACGATGTTTCTCACAGCACTAAATGCTTTTCAACACATGCCTTAATAACGACATGCTGCCATATATATATATATATATATATATATATATATATATATATATATATATATATATATATATATATATATATATATATATATATATATATGCAGCATAAAATAATAACATAAACATAACATTAATAATTTTATAAAACCAGAGGAATGAAAATTATAAACAGGATGAATGCAGAATTAAGAACATTATAAAAAAATGCATAACAACAGTTGACAATAGCAAAAAATTAGATTAATTATTTATTACAAAATTTTTTAAACCCTCTAACCTTATAGTTAAAAATAATAATTCACCTCCTCGGGATATTGGATGTCAATTTGAAAGTTTTCATTAGAAATCTGAAACTGAAACGTACTTGGAGATTTCTGTAGGACACTGATTAAAAACATAACTTCTAAATTAGGAAATATTTTCAGAATAAGTATATAAGAATTTCACATTAACGGAAACCTAACATAAATTCAGTTGGAAATTATGAGAGGAATTGGAAAAACGTGTAATAGAAAGAATACCAAATAATCAGCGACAACTTATTAGGCAAATGATGTGTGGCAAATATCCATGTCGTGTTAATTTAGCTAAAGATTACTGAAAAAAAAAAAACGATTAGAAAAACGTAATGTCCAAAATAGGATTTAGCACAGATTGTTACTTTTTTTTAAATGCAATTAATTTTGGGCATAGAGTTATTATTAAATTTATTAACAATTATAAACAATTAAATAGTAAAATTTCTGTATTGCAAACACTATTATTTTCTGGAAATTTAAAATTCAGCTGTCGTTCCAATTGTTTAAAAAATCAGACCATAGCAATATTTTCAGTGCGAACTTTATCGCATCGCATCGCATCCCATCTATCTATCTATCTATCTATCTATCTATCTATCTATCTATCTATTCTAATCTACACTAATCTACCTTATAAGCATTCTGTATTGTTTAACTTAAGAAATCTATCTATCTCAGTCTGTTTGTATGTATCTCAGTCTGCTCGTATCTCACTATCTGTCTGTGCGTATCTATCTATCTATCTATCTATCTATCTATCTATTCTGTTCTAATCTTAATCTACCTTATAAGTGAGGGTGGTCTCTAACAACGATTTCTTATTTGTTATTTTGGAGGTGGGGTCAAAATAAGTTTTAACACACAATTCGAAGGACTAGTAGTAAGTGGATATAGTTGTTTTTTTAAACATTTAAACAACTATAAGCAAATTGAAGCTGATCTCTCTGTCATAGGGAAAGACGTACATTATCTATCTATCTATCTATCTATCTATCTATCTATCTATCTCAGTCTGTCCATCTATCTATCTATCTATCTATCTATCTATCTATCTATCTATGTTTAAGTAAATATATAAACATAACAATTATTTCACTTTTGAGGATGGTGTATAAATTAAAATGTATCGGTTATCATTACTTTATCTTAAACCCTATCGCAAGCAGAATTCGTTCGAGTAGTCATTGTTAAGCAATCATTCTTTGAATGAATGCTCGACAAAAAAACAAACAAACAAACAAAAAAAAACGTCAGAAGAAAATCCTTGAATAAATTCCATTTCCCTCCACCATGTTTCAGAGTTATTTTCTTTTTAACGAGTCTACTCTATGACTTCTACCACGTTGTACCAAGTAACACGACATGGCATTTCTGAGTAAGGAACCTAGTTCTATAATATCCTAACTTAATTACTTATGCTGATTTTATTGAAGCAAGTAATATAATCAAGAAATATAGTATGTATAAAATTTCAATTTTCTTCCTCGACTGTGCAGGTGAAATTGTGAAAAGAGGACGTTCACGGTGTTGTTTGTTTGCCTGACAACAACGCATAGAGCAAATCAGAAAATCTCGGAGCCATTTTGACAATAACTGACGATAAAACTGAGATATGCACTATAAATATATTGAAAACAAAATAGCGTAATTTTCACTCAATTGGACGGAAATTTGCAGCCAGAAGCAACAATGTCACTTAATGTTGGCACCTCTGTTGAAAGGGACGCAAAATTTGAATTCTAGTTTAATTACAGTAGAATTCTATTAAATATGTATCAGGAATCTGTCATGATCTTAGCGCAGGAAATATGAAATAGATCTTCACGTATTATTGGATTGAATATATAAGCGTTGAAACAGAATCGAAATGGCGGTTTTAGTAACACCAACAAATCTCTATCTCAGTGTGTTTTACAATTCATCACTCTCCTTCTCTCTCTCTCCCTATATATATATATATATATATATATATATATATATATATATATATATATATATATATATAATGTAATAAAAAAGTCTCGAACACTAGTATTCCATGGTTAAAATTTATTACATCGGAATCGTAATCACGATCCAATTCATCAGACCTACAAATTCAAAAAGAAATCAGGAAATATAACTCCGGGTATAAAAATAAAAGTTTAGTCAGAGGTGTTTTTATACCAAGAATTATATTTTCCGATTTTTTTTTGAATTTGTAGGTCTGATGAATTGGATCGTAATTTAAAAATTATGACCATGAAATATTAGTGTTTAAGCCTTTTTATATTATATTCTTACTCTGTCCTGGGCAGTGATTTCTACCTGATTCTATCCTCTTGAAATTTATATATATATATATATATATATATATATATATATATATATATATATGTATGTGTGTGTGTGTGTGTGTATTGACCACTAATATTATCTATCTATCTATCTATCTATCTATCTATATAAAATAGTAATAATAATAATGGGCTCTGTTTCGACGTATGAGGATCTGAAAGTTTAGTTGATTCAGTTATGAATTTTTTGTGATAATCTTAAGTAGCACTTAAGACCCTCTAGTGATTTACAAAGGACCCAAATATAGAGCAAGAATGAGGATTGTGAGATGAGATCACTGTTAGATTGGCTGACCTTTAGATGTTGCTCTCGCTTCTTGAAGCTGATTCGGACAAGCAGATTTAAAACTGCTGAGTCTACTAAAACACGTTGATCTCCATTCTACCCGCTCCAAGGATAATCGCTCAAGGGTGTTATGTGGTATATTGACAGCTGACAAGTTGTTCTTCATCTTGTCTTTTTGTATCTTAGCCATGGGCGTTCTACATTCCCGTAGCCCTGATCTAACTGGCTGTACATTAGGATCTTGGGTATCCTGTCACCAGACGTTCTCAAGACATGACAAGTCTACCGTAACTGAGACTGTATGAGAAAAGTCTCGATTCCTCCTTTACACACGCACACACACACACACACACACACACACACACACACACACACATATATATATATATATATTTGTAAAAGTGAACATATATATATATATATATACTCAAATGGATAAATATAAATAAATGTACGTGTAAGTGTTCGAATAACAATACATGCATATATATATATATATATATATATATATATATATATATATATATATATATATATATATATGTGTGTGTGTGTGTGTGTGTGTGTGTGTGTGTGTGTGTGTGTATATATATCCTTTGCTGTAAGAAAAACAGTGCTCAGTGCTAAATAAGACAGCTATTAAGTATATATTAATCAATATACATAATGCCTGATAGTATAACTTGAAGCTTCATTCTGATATAGGAAAACAAAGACGACTAAATGAAAGATCGGAGGTGTTATCCAAATGTAGACAGCTTAGTAAATATTTATTTTTATGTACGAACCGGCATGAAAATACATTTTTCCCCACCGCCTTTTCCCTCCTCCGTCTTTTCCCCCCTTAACTTCCGGTATTCGTATATAATCATGGTGGAATGAACTAAAATCTTTCGTTCTATCTGCCTGAGGAGACCCAACGGTCGAAACCTAGTTTTGATTATATATATATGATTATATATATATATATATATATATATATATATATATATATATATATATATATATATATGTGTGTGTGTGTGTGTGTGTGTGTGTGTATGTGTTTGGGTGCGTGTGTGTCTAGAGAATTAATTGTTTCCGTTTCGCATGCTAAACTTAGCAGATTTGGGTCTTTGCGAAAGCAGATTTGTGAAGCCGCCGGGCAAACGGTAGTTTCTTCTACGAACAGTAACGCAGGTGACCCTGCCAGAGAATTATTTTTCTTTATTAGCATTTCTTAAATGTGCCGTATATTTATTTATTTTCGTCTACCGGTCTCTGAATATTCGACGGTTTCTCTAGCAAAGAAGGAGGCAGGTTCGAATCCTGGCGAAGAACGCATATTTTTCTTTAATATGATTTCTCGAATATTCAGGCCGGCAGACGAAAATAAATAAATAAATGTACAGTTTATAAATAAACGAAGCGTCCAATGTGGGCATCCACGAAAGTAAGGTTTCAAATGACAAAATTTACTATAATGAATAACTAGGACGCTTGTTTTAAGTCCATTACCTCTTCTCGCTTTTTCTAATATTGTTTGAGATTTCCTTACTAAAGTTTGCTTATTGTGTGGAAAGTCAATCTATAGATTATGGTACATTATTTACATTATTTAGACTACTGTCCTCATCTTTGTCGCCATATTTATTACAACGTTTCGGCCGTTGTACGCTCCGGTCTTCATCAGTTAGTTGTAATGTCGAACTGAACCCTTTATTTCGCTCACTGGGGTTGAATGTTCTAACTCCACATGCCGTATTTAATGGATGTCAGTTATCAGTTATCTCTTGTTAATTTTCCCTCTGAAAATTTGCCTTAACCGGGTATTGACTCACACTCTTTGGATCCTGTAACTGGATCTAACTAATGCCTTTATTCACTGTGCCATGTGTCTTTGAGGACAACGGCCGAAATGCTGTAATAAATATGGCGACAAAGATGAGGACAATAGTCCGAATAATGTAAATAGTGTACATAGTAGCTCATCTCAGAAATATAGACAGATACTGAAAGACCGAAACATTGTAATAAATATGACGACAAAGATGAGGACAATATTCCGAATAATGTAAATAGTGTACATAGTAGCTCATCTCAGAAATATAGACAGATACTGAAAGACCGAAACATTGTAATAAATATGACGACAAAGATGAGGACAATAGTCCGAATAATGTAAATAGTGTACATAATACCTCATCTCAGAAATATAGACAGATACTGAAAGGCCGAAACATTGTAATAAATATGGCAACAAAGATGAGGACAATAGTCCGAATAATGTAAATAGTGTAAATAATACCTCATCTCAGAAATATAGACAGATACTGAAAGGCCGAAACGTTGTAATAAATATGGCGACAAAGATGAGGAAAATAGTCCGGACAATGTAAATAATGTACATAATACCTCATCTCAGAAATATAGACAGATATTGATGATGATAATTATTAATAGGCTCTTTATATAAGCGCATTTATCACAAATCCTTCTCACGCTTGCAAACCGAATGCAAATGTGATATCATATGCTTCCTCATTCGGCGGCCGGGAATAGCTTCACTGATGCACCTGAATTCTTTGATGGTCTGGTATGTATTGCGTGTATTGTGCCTCTATTCCAGCATCTTACGAGAAAAGTGCGTATCAGGGGGTATCACACCAAGAACGCTATAATCGAATAGAAACATCAATGAAGGTGTCGAAATTGTCCAGACCACGGCATTGATGGGGTCTGCGTGTATACTGAGGAAATCGCTCCTAGCTTCTATTGTTAAAGTGGACGTTCGGGATTTGAAAACAAAGTCACGAAAAAAGAAACAAATCCCAAAATAACTTATTTTCAATTTTAGATTTCAAACGGAATACAGATGTGGAGTTTGATGTTTCTTCATCTGGCGACCGGAAGTAGCCCCAGGCCAATACATGGAATGTGCCTGCATTCTTTTATGGCCTTATGTGAATTGTCCATCCAGCAATAGACGAAATTCTTACTAGGAATCATGCCAAGTGTATAGAATTGAGTGGGAACATCGGTGAAGGGTTGAGATTTTTTGACCACGGCATTGCTGGGGTATTCGGTATAACGAGGAAGGTGCTGGAGAACTGAAAAGATTTGCTGTAACTCGCTCTTTGTTGCGGATCACTAGACATCTGTCATGAACACTGAAATGCATGAATCATAAAGAAATCAAATAAAACTGAACAGTTCTATCTTGCATATTTAACAGTGTCTAAAGAAATTTAAAAAAGAACTTTTCAATTTTGATTTAAAATTTCTCATAGCGTAAAATCGCTGCAGCTGCTGCTGTTGTCAAAGAGGAAGTTCAGAATTTGAAAACAAATAAGTCGAGAAAAAATAGAAATAAATGACAACTGAATTTCAATTTTAGATTTCAATTTCTAATACAATGTTTCTGTCAATCAATGGTTTATAGTCGGATCATGAAACGGTCTTTGA